ACACACACACACACACACCACACACACACACACACATTCATTTTTTTTATTTTTTTAGCCAACGTAACTCACTCGGTGGGGCTCTGGATCGATGTGTAGAGTTCTTTGCTTTGAAATTCATTATGTTTAACAGTGGATGGATGATAAATGTTTTCTCTAGGGGGGGGGGTGTAGTTTCCAGTCGCTTTGCTGTTGTTAGGCTGCATCAAGTAAATTTTATGGATGACATCCTCAGCAGACTCCAAATTTAATGCGAGTGGGCGAAAAAAAACTAGCCTGGGTACCATCCTACTTGTATAACGGGGCTCCCATACTCGCTTCCCTAAGAAGTAAGCTAGTGTGGGAGCCCCGGCATACAAGTAGGATGGTACCCAGGCTAGAAAAAAACAAGGCGGGCCAAAAAAACAAGATTCATTATACAAAGTCAACCATTGTACAAAAGGTTTTGATTCAGTGGGAATATCACATATACACAGCCACCATCACATATCACTGCATCAAAGTAAAAACAAAACATCAAATCATAGCCTTTTCTTGACTCCTCTCTTCATAGTTATCTGCCATCCACGTTCTGGCATGACAACAGACATCTTTGCCCATTTTCGGCAAGTTGACCACTGTCAGAGGGCATCGAAATTTCTTGGGTTTTCTTTCTTCAACATCAGGCGAAAATAAATGCGCGCGCTAATGTCAACTATAAAAATTACTTGTTGTAGCCTTTATGTGGCTGATTTTATTGCCTTTATTACAACTGAGACGAAATTATATGTGTAGTACGTATATTGTAATGAAAATATGTAAGAGAGTACATGTATGTAGGAGTACTCATGTGACGTTGTTGCTGCTGCTATTTCATAATCAGATGCATTTGTGCGTCGGATCATGTGTTATAGGAGACCTATTGCAGAATATAAAGGCATTTCCCCGTATAAAAGAAAGTGAAAGGTACTTGTATTGTTAGAAGTTATTTTATATATCTATTTCAATTCTAGCTGACAGAACTATATTCGCTAACTTTAGACGGAGTACAGCACACTTTATTACTGTGATCTTTGTTCTATTGAGAAGAATCTGTTGTAAGTGTAACAGCAAGTGTGCAGGCGTCACCAACTGCCCTTTTGGTTAGATTGTGCTTTGGCTATGAACTGACGCGTCGCGTGCGTTTCGATCCCGGGATTCTGAGTTAGTCTTTATCAGCTTGTGTCTTTCCTTTTTCTACGGTGTTACAAAATGGTGTCAGAAGTGGGATCCGGAGCAGTTGGTGATACTGCTATACTCGCGTTAAAAAAGTAACCTGTAGTGTGTTAGTGAGGTAAACGTGGAAATAAAAAAAATCACTGTAGAGTTTATTAGGACACTTTCAAGCGTTCGACAACGTCTAGCTGCCATATATGGTGACGGGAGATAAAAGTAATGATAGAACAAAATGTATTTATAACATGTAATATTACAGCTCTCTGTATACGTATTTTATCCTTCGAAAACAAATTGTAGTGACAGTCTCGTATCCAATATTTACTTTCACACGTTGTGGATCTCTTTCTGTTGAGTTTTAGTTGTAATAAATGCACTTTATATGCACGTGATATCCCAGTGTCAGGCCCTTTTTTGGCTCAATTGGTATAGATAGGTCTAGAACACAACTCAAGGGTCAATTAACTGTTGATTCGCAATTCGCCATGCATAGACCATGAAAAGAGCTTTGCTTGCTGGCTACTACTAGTAATATGTGCCGACGGGTTATAAACTTGTCGCTAGGCGGCGCTTCCAGTTGGTCCATAATACGATGAATGCCCTTGCTTATGCTGAGGTTGCTTATTTTCAAACCGAGGACTGAAAAATCTGTTATATCAATACTATACGCAAATAGTTCCCATTGTTATTTTCTAAATCCTTTTATATCTCTTGTATCATATTTTTCGTTCCATAAGACTGCCCGGCGGGGTCCCGGTTTAGAAATGTTACCTCAGCAAAAGTATTCAGGTGGAAAGTGGTATTTCGTACCTCTTCAATATTGTTTTGTCGCTTCTTTATTTTTGGGAAATGATGAAGTTATAAAAAGAATTTTGGTAGGACTTTAGGTTATTACATTTCATGACTCTGTTGGGTACAAAGAAATTCCATGTAATATCTTATCAGCAATCTCCATACTCAGGTTCTGGATAGTCCAGGTGTATTCAGAACCGCGCCCACAGAAAAATATACGTTCTTATATACGCAGAGACTATCCAGAACCGTGCCTGATGCTGACCTAACTCCTTTATGCATAGTTTGTACTGTTTATACACACCATGTCCTACCTACATGTATAACGCACTATTCGGGTCATCAGGAGAAAAGGTCATATTTAATTTACCATGACCCCTGACCCCCAAACAAGTAGCAGGTTTAGAAACAAGGTTTTGCTTTGTTTCCAGTGTTTTGAGAATGGTTTGGGGTCACGGTCACATTCTTGATACAGTCTGACACCTATTCAACCGTCGTTAAGCCGTGAAAGCGTTTATTTAACGTGTACCGTGGCTGGGAGAGGTGGGAAGGGGCGCCCGCTGACGGACAGGCGGGTGACATGGCGCTCCGGTCCGGGATGAGGTTGTGGCTGTCTCGGAACGTTGTTCTGGGTTCCCTGGCGGTGTCCCTCGCACTGAACGCCTGGATTCTGTCCAGTAAGTTTTATCCTGTTTCTTTTTCTTCGATATATAGTATTACAAACACCCCAGGCAAGACATTACACCAGTATCTCTTACTGTTTAAGACAAATAAATTGGGGGTGGGGGGTAAAGAACTAGCCTGGGTGCCAGACTGTTTCCAGGCTGTCAAGTTCCTCGACTCCAGGCCGACATGCCCACTGTTGTAGGTTGGCTATCTCTGGGCCTACCAGGCTAGGGTGTTTTGGGTCTGGTATTCTGGCTAGTACATGTAGCTACTAGTAGAATACAGAAGCATCTGGAAATTTAAATGTCTTAAAATTTATGTAAATTACTTTATATTGTAATACATGACTATATTTTTCAGGTAGCTACTGTGCGTCCTAGGAAACATATAGCACATATAACGTTAACATCCGTGTGCATAATATCACCATGGTCCATAATATCGCCACCTTGAGAAATAGTGTGCTTAAAGATATTTTTACTGCAACATACCCTACACTGTAGGTATGTACAATTGAGGTGTGCAGGAGTGCATACCAAAAGTATGTTGCAGTAAAAATAAATAATCTTAAAGCACACTGTTTCTCAAGGTGGCAATATTATGGACCCTGGTGATATTATGATTCATAATTCATAATATGAGCATGGATGTTACATGCACAAATCTAGAACCATTACTAAGTACAGTAGTATTTGTACTACACTCAGGTATAAACAGCTGATTGTGCGTGTATGAATTACCCAAACATTGAACTTATATAATTTATTAGACACCAATAATGCTGTTCACTTTAACCCTAAACAGTACACCTGGGGTCCGCGCGGACCCCAGCACTATATATTCTATAATATCTTTTTTGTTTCTAAAGTATTTTTTTTCTGAAATTTTAGGTAATTGTCACCCACAAAGTTGTCTCTCAATACAGTGCAGAAAACTCCGTTTCTATCATTTATAAAAAAATTATATCTGATTTTCTTTTGGGGTCCGCGCGGACCCCCAGCCGG